CCCCCCCCCCCCCCCCAGTGACCCCTGCCGGGTGCCCAAGCTGTCTGTTGAGGATTGAGAGAGGCAGTGAACCAGGTGGACAGGAGGGAGTGTGTGTGTGTGAGAGAGTTTGAGTGAGTCAGTGGGGAGTCGGATGCATTCAGAATGGGGGTTCACAGGGAGGAGGAAGAGGAGGAGGAATGTCCACAAGTCTTTCTGGTTTTACTGCACATTCTCCATCATCTTGAGGAATTCTGGGAAAGAGAAGAGAGATGGGACGGTGTTATTGAGACGGGAAGTTCAGGTTACAAACAAAGTTATCGTTACAAATTTTTGCTGATTTTCATTCATTTCCACAACAGAAATCTAAACATCGTATAAAGCCAGCTTTGACATTCTTGTTTCATTTTGTTGATATATTAGAGTAAAATGCTTTTACAGAGGGAGGTTTAGATATCTATTTTTATCATTTACAACATTAAAGCCTAAATAACCTAAAACCTCACCATACTAGTACCAGATAGGCTACACTATACAACAAAGAAATATAGGACTCTGGCTGCTACATTTTTTAATGAAATCTTAAATAACTGTACATTCTTTAAAGTTCCACAAACTCTTCCTAAGTCCTAAATAGGATAATACATAACTGGAAACGTTTCACCAACGTCCATCATCATCATCATCATCATGCACCTACCGTCAAAGTCCAGCATGCCGTCTGAGTTCTTGTCTCCATCCTTCATCAGCTCATCAATCTCGTCCTCTGAGACGGGCTCGCCGGTGCTGCGGATGATCTGGGCGAACTCCTCTCTGTCGATGTAACCGTCGCCGTTCCTGCGCACAAATGTACAGGATCGCAAACATGAGCAAATATACAAAAATACCGATATCAGAACAATGAGTACAGCATTACAGAGTGAAACAACGCTCTGTACACAGTGACGGCGTGACGTACTTGTCGAACACACGGAAGCACTCCGCCAACTCTTCCTCGCTCTTGCCAGCCTGGTCCTCCTTTAGCAGCCTCACCATCATGACCAAGAACTCCTCGAAATCGATGGTACCGCTACCTGAGGGGGTACAAAGGAGCCATGTGACCAATTAACAAAGGCCCAACCGCCGTGCGCTCCTTTGTGGGACACGACATGTTCGCTATATTCTTTGCGCACAGTTTTACGCACGAAATACAGTAAAAGGAAACACATAGATAAGTTATTCCCGATCTTTAATGATTATAATATAATGATTTGTATAATTGAAAACAAAACCAAAACGAATTGCCTGCTGATAGGTGTCAATATTGTCTTTGCGCATGTGCGCTGTAGTCTCTGCGCACAGTTTTACGCATGAACAGTAAAAGGAAACACATGGAGATAAATTATTCCCGGTCGTTATAATATAATGATTTGTATTATTTAATGCAAAACCAAGAATTGTCTGCTGATGGGGGGCAAAAGTGATTGCGCACAACGTGGCACGCTGGGTCGCCGTCACGCCGTGTTATCCGTCGCTCACCATCCTCATCGACCTCCTCGATGATCTCATCCAACTCCTCTCTCGTCGGGTTCTGGCCCAACATCCTCATCACCTGGCCCAACTCCTTGGTGCTGATATCACCGCCACCGTCGGTGTCAAACATGTCGAATGCGGCCTTGAACTCTGGAGGAAGAGGAGATGTAAGACCGTCAAGGTGAGACCACTGAAAACAACCATAGGCCTCCTGTCATTTGATTAATACATTACTGGTTACCGGCCCCGGTAACGAGATCGCTAAAGTAACGCGTTACTGTAGCCTGTACTCACCAGCCAGCATTTCCTCGCTCAGGTAGGAGCGGGCCTCTTGTTGAGCGTCAGTCTGGAAGAAAACAGATCATTCACTCACTACACGGGCTTCATTGATGATTCCAGTTAAAACCACACTAATTGGGCCAATATAGCCGCGAGGCCCATGGCATACTCCTTTTTAAAGGGAATATTACTAACAGCATTGTACTCGTTTATAACATCACCAAAGCTCAAAGGAACAGTAGAGTTACAGATGACAGGAATATTACATAGAGTTATCATTTACTGTATGATTAGTGTTGGTGATGACATGCTTTCACGGGCCGTGTGTTGCAGGATGTCGTGGTGCGCGTTTCGAGCTATTTCAGGCTCAACACATTAAGCTCGCTGTATATGGCCCGCAGACATCTAATCCTGGGGAATCTGTCGCCGAAGCACAATCCGCACCTTCCCAGCTGACACCCACCCAGCTCCCCGTCTCCACTTTCTGCCACCAGCAGTAATATTTGCAACAGATTACTCATTGATTAATTATGAATTATATTTAAATATACTAAAACTAAGTATGAATATATAAACTCATAAAAATGTAAAAAAAGAAAAGTGAAGCAATTTGAAGGGGAAGCCAACATATTCAGATCTAGTCCTTATCAAAAGAAGGAAACATGCTTCTCAACAACTTGTTTTTTTAAGACTCCCATATATCTTTATTGATAAATCCTCTTGCCATCATCATTATTTGCTTAGCAAATAAATAATTGTTTGCTGGTTAAGAGACCAACTTTGAAAAAGTTCAACGGGTCATTGTTTGCACAATTTCTTGGTCTTACCATGTTTGTGGATTAGCTTTTCCCTCCCCAGATATCCAAGGAAATAAAAAGCCCAAAAGGAGTGGTCAATCCGTGTGCACCCCAACAGAGAGACTAAACGTCAAGTGAAGATTCAGACACACTTTAAACGGGACGGCCAGGTCCCGCCCCCTTTGTCTCACAGGCCTCCAGATTTAGTATCCTGAACTTTTAGGGTTCTGAGGCTACGGCAAGCCAATCACACTTTGGAGAGGAAAAGCACCTCGTTTCTTTGAGTTGCGGGCTTGAGAAAGTAAAAGAGGTAAATTCTGAGTTGTATGTGTGATCCAGGTCAAGGTGCAAGAATCTACAGGAAAGAATGCAGCTTTTGGGGGAGAATGCGAAGAGAATATTTCACTGCCTGTCTTCTGGTTTTGTTAAGATTGAGGTGATCAGGAGGTGGGATGTGAAGAAGAGTGACATTTTGTGACAGAAGCCACACAGAAAAGCAGAATACATTCACACAAATCCAATGAATTCACTAGGTTCCTCCCTATATGGCGTCTCTATCTCCTAAAACAGCATTTAAAAATAAATAATACTCCTAAAGATCTTAGGCCTTGTAAATGTAAGAGTGGTGGGGGAGCCTAAGATTTTAAAGTATGCTATGGGTTTTGTGATGATGGAGTTTCAATCTGGGTGTGAAACCCAAAACCGGGACCCCATCTCTCTCTCTCTCTCTGCCTCCACCCCCTTTCGCCGTGAATAGCAGGATGATTTTTAGGCTGAGAGACACCCGCTCATCCCGGTGCCACACTGCCAGATGAACTCAACCCGATTCTCCTTATACGGTGGGCGCTTCCTGGAGGGAGGGGCCCGAGGCGAGACACGGCAGAGATGGATAGGATGCTGAGGAGGGGAGCAGCCATGAAGGAAGGGGAGGGATGCTGGCTTTTTGAGAAGTGGTGGGGCCCTGCAGGCTATATACCCGGAGGGAGACCTGCATGTTCCAAATGAAGAATTGGTTCCGCGACCGTCTCGAGCCTCCAATGCTGGCCGGCTGCTCGGCCTCACCTCTCGCGCTGGGGGATGAGCCACTGGCGGCATTGATTTCTGTGCTGGGAGACCACTACGAGAAGATTGATGGCAGATAGTTATGACAGAAAACTAGTTGGGAGGGATCAATTTAAACTACATAATTGAAAATGTCCTCAGATATGACAGGGAGATGGTACACAGCACTGTTTATGCAAATATAGGCAGCTCAGAGAGCAGCGTGGAGGCTAGTTTGAAGTTCAGGACTGGAATAGAGAGATAAGACCAAGAATGTGTGTGGAAAGGTAGATTGTTGGTGGTGTAGAAATTGCATGTACTTGTGTGTTGGTGTGTATGATCACCTTTCTGTGTGGTTGTGTGTCAGAGAGTCCTAAGGCCAGACAGACAAGATTAACACAAGCATGAAAACATGCACGGCAGAATAACTTGCAGAGATGAACAAGGAGAAATGTGGATTTATTTAGAAAGCACAGAACAGGCTGGAGCAGGTATTTAGTTTGAAGGAGGAGGAGGGTGGGGTGGGGGGGGGGGTGTCTAAGCTAAGTGGTGTAGCATTTCTGGAGAAGCGGCAGCTGCAAAAGGGGACAGCTGGCTCAACGGAGGCTAGCCTTCGTCTTAAAAGGTTTGAACGGACGGATATTTATAGGATTCGTCACCGAGCTCCTGGGTTTCAAGTGGGAAGGGGATTGGGGGGGGACGTCTCAGGAACAACATCATGCTCTGAGCAGATTCCTGATCAGACAGCGTGCTTTGTATTCTCTCTGAGAAAGGGTGACCAAGGAATGTAGAGCTGGCCCTCGCTACTGGACGTTCTCCATCATCTTCAGAAACTCTGGGGGGACAAAAGGGAGGTCAATGGTCAATCAAGCCAACCCCCACCCACTGATCCATCACATGATCGAAACCACTGAACACTATGTGGGCTGCAAAGTGTGTGTTTGGGTGTGGACGAAACCTCTGTGTTAACTCTTGGGTTGAAGTGAAATCATGGAGAACATGTGATTGTGATGCATAAACGCTGTATGTGATGAGCAATATGTTCCTGTCCCTCCTCATGTCTGCTTGTTTCAACGGGATAGTTTTAAAGTAAGGACTAATATCTCTATATGCTCTATTCATCATTTCATTTTCATTCACATGTTGAAATGCCTCATATATCTCTCTCTCCCCCCTCCCCCCTCTCCACACACACACACACACACACACACACACACACACACACACACACAC